GAAAAGCATTCAATGAGATGTAATCAGAGGATTAGACTCTCTGGGTTTTAAACTCTGGGAGACCGGATATTTGGAGGTCCATTAAAATGTCTGTCAAATATGTTTGTTGTCGCCATAATGAATGAACATTTCCTTTATTCATAACTGTGAAAATGTCTTCGAAGACATGATTACAACAGGACAGGGAAATTAGATTTTGAAAGCATGTCAAACATGTCTGAGGAAGGAAAAAGACATCAGGGCCCGCCAACCTCAAGGTAATTTCTAAGCGGATTGAAATCTTTATAATAACTAAAATGACTCCCTGTCAAAAGTAAAAAGTGGAAAATCCATCAATCCAAAAACAGATCCTCACACAGAAGAGGTCAAAGCACAATCACAGTCCAGTGGCAGTAAACATTTCTGACAGGAAACATTCAGAACCATTTCTGTTATGTCCACAAGCCCAAGTGGAAAGGTCATCCCCAATGTCAAACACTAAACGTCACAAATCAAATGTGAACGTAGAGTGTCATTATGTGGCGTTAAACACACGAAAAGACAAGGTGAGAAATGTCCTATGATTCTGTGCAAGAGGCATTTAGTCATTAACAAACTTCTCAACCCCTCTGAGCTGGCTAAGCAGAGAAAGAGAGTGAGAGTTGACCTGATATTAACCACCACCTGTAAGACACAAAAAACAAGTCTGCAGAAAAAAAATCCATCTTAAAGGTGCATTGCGCAACTTTTCATGTTAAAAATACCTGTTTTTCTATCCTATACATGCTTAAAGAACTGCCTGCTGGGCTGAATGAGCCCTTCTCTGCGCACTGAGATTGCCTCTATAATCCTGTACAGTAATATATATAAGAGGGATTCGGGCTCGAATTTGAGACTGGGCGTGACGTCATGCGCGTTCACGCTCACCAGGCTATGTCTCGCAGGTTTGTGTATTCGCCGGCGCCGCCATTCTCCGCATCAGCGAAGACAACTCGTGTGTCAAAGGTAGAAGATGGATTCAAAGAGATACTAACAAAATCAACAAAAGCCCATCCTTTTGATGAACTAACTTACAGTATTAACTAACCAAACTAACGCAATAAAGTTCCAAAGCTTATTCTCGAGGAACTAACTCACTAATACTAACTCGATTAAGTCGCACAGACCATCCTCTTGACGAACTCATTTTCGAACTAACCAAACAAACTCTATAAGAACCCAAAGTCCATCCTCAATAAAGGGTTCATTGATCCTGACATGTGGACGAGCTGACATCCAGAAGGGTAAACCTGCTGAGCATCTGAGGTCTCTCTAACGACCAGTTGGGTAGATGCTGTATTAATCATATAAAGGTGAATGCGGTGTGCCATCAGAGGGATATGCTGATGTCTGTGTCCGCAGCGAGGAGCGAATCTCTCAGCTGTCAGCTAACAGATGGAGCCCAGATGATGCAGCCACTTTACAAGCCCTAACACACTTAACTGCACTGGTCCTCCCACAAGACCTGGAGAGGTAACCAATCAGTCAGCCTCTCCTGACGCCCACAAAATGAAACCTGCAAGAGACACTGACAGCAACTCATAATATGTGTATAGACAGATTTGAAGTTTATGTGGTGCATTTTGTGAATTGCAGTCCAATTGTGTGCCTAGTCATCTGTAGCCTTTTGAAGTGCAATGTGGTTTATTGAAATTTTGAATTATATAGATTAGTATTGCGACACTTTTCTTTCAGTTGAATGGCTTTTTATGGCACTGTTTGGATTTCTTTCTGTCTTTTTCTGAGCTGGAGGGCATCTGGTTGTGTTCAAAGGCGCGCTCTGCATGCACAGTTCCTGTGGTTTCCAGTTTTAGTGACGAGACAACACTGTCAGACTGAATTTGTCCCAACAATGCCTGATAGGAGAGGAAAGAGGTGCAAACAGGGATTTGATAAAGCAGCCGTCAGCCACAAAACATCCACTAAGCCAATAGTCTCCTCAGTGATCTTAATGTTTATACTAAATGAGATCGCAAACTGCATATTACATTTTAAATTTTGAATTTTCCAATATGTTGCCTCTAATCTGTTTGTGCAAAATAATTTGTGTACACATGCTTCGGAGATGTCTTCAAATGTTGCAATCCCTGAATCTGCTAAGAAAGCCAAGCTAATGGGATACGCTTGTGTACAGGGGAACTCCCATTCTAATGCATAACCTCTCGAAATAGCTGTCTCTCACTGACTACGCTGCGAATGGCAGAGAGGGCTCATTTGGTTTACCAACATGTTCAGAATTCCAGACTAATCCGAATACCAGCCTTGGGATCGTAGCCATTCCTTATGGGAAAAGTGGGTCCTACCTTTTTAGCTTCTTGTGCAATTGCGGTTCAAAAGACAAACGTTTCCATAAGGGTCAGTGAATGAACAGACAGCCTGTAGGCGGCGATTTATCTGCCTCTCTTCATGCCAGTTTAATTAAGCCCCGAGAGACCAATCAGATCAATGAGAGAGAGTTTATTACGCATGTAATTTAGCAACCATCTTCATTGCCTGGGAAAGCACCCAACAGTACACTCATTTAACTGAAGCCGAGTCACTTTTAACAGGTGCTTTTAATGGACATGAACAAGCGGGTTTTTTTTTTGCTAATGCCAAAGTTGTAAAGTTTTATTGGTTCACAGCGGAAAATGCATGGAGGGCTATCTAATCCTAATCGATAAGGAATTTCCTTTCTGAATGATAGTTATAATTGATTATTCCTCAATGGCAGATTGCCGACTCCCTGAGCAATGAGGCTTGACGTGATTTACTGTTTAATATGAACTGCCACACAGTAACAAATACAGGAAAAGGGGCACAATAGATTCGCTTCCTGACTTATATCTGAACACGTTAACCAGGCTGAGGGCAGGATATTTCTTATCCTCTCATTTAACACACATAAATGACCCCATCCTACACAACTCCCAGAAAAGACCATCTTAAACCAGCATGGATTTTTGATGGTCAACTGGCAAAAAATGCTAGTATACTCGCTGCATAACTACCATAAAACGGTGCATCCTTGAAGAAATCAACTAGCTAGTCACAACTTTTTCCCTAAATCATATTGTCGCAAATTTGACGTTCAACCACGCTGAAGAAAATAGTGTCACTGATGTTCAGTGATGGTTCATTTTTGTTGTAAAAAAGTTATTAATTTAGTTCATTTATATATATAGTCACTCGGGAGAAAACAGTGATGTCATCGTCCAGCTCAGTTCAGCTCTCATATAATGGGGTCAATGCAGGAAGATCAATAATATTGTTGAATATTAAGTGTCCCCAACTAAGCAAGCCAAAAGCCAAAGGTGACAGTGGCAAGGAACCAAAACTCCATCAGGTGACAGAATGAAGAAAAAAAACTTTGGGAGAAACCTGGCAATTGTGTGCAAAAGTTGTAAACTTCAAAAAGGACATACATGTATCGTAAAAGTAATCCAACTCCAGTGGTTTAATCAGCCTTCTGGTTACTTTGAATGTATGCATCTCACATGACTTAACATTATGATAAGCACCAATGAGGTTTGATGTTACTGACATGTGGCCAAATTGACTAAAAACAACATTTTCATTTTCATCATTCACTACTCATTTAAGCTAGTTAAGAACCCTGTACACCAGCATCCCATTTATCAACAAGGCATGCTGTTTTAGCACAATAACCTGTTCCTATCAATCAAACACTGACAAAAACCTTAGCAATCACAGACAAGTCTCCCGGTAATCTGCAACAATGTGCTGATAGGTTACTCTTGTGAAGCTTGGCTGTGATACAGTATGTGTATGTCAGATTCCTCTATAACCTCAACTTCCTGTAAACAGTTTTATAAACAGGCATGCTTCCTCAGAGTAAAACCTCTAGTACATACGTGTGCACACACATGCTGGCCGCAGGTGCAAGATCAATGGCCATTGAATGAAACCTCCTACAACTCCCCAAAACACTCAGCCTTGAACTTAAAACTAAATATTTTACTGCAGTCTTTGTGCTCTTCCAATCTGACAAGCATACCTACATGGGAGTTGTAAGGAAAAGCCCACAGTAACTATCCTAGCATTCTCTGCTATACTCATTGACATGCAGAGAGTTATAGCCCAGTGCCCGGTCGGTCCATTCTACTGCAGAAAAGACCTGTGAAGCCACTAAAGCCTTTACTGTATTACGGCTTAGCAAGAGTTTAATCACTGCAATGTGCCACAGAAGAAACACAACATAAGCATAGAGGATCTTACTTACATGTATAACAACAAAGAATCATTAGTTTGCAAAATCCTCAGCAAAAACATTATCATTTGGTCGACCAAATGGAACAAAATAATAATTGATCTTCATGATTTTGTGACAGAAGCAATTTCAAGAGACTAGTTTATTTTATAGTGACATGCGCTGTTTAACATAGAAATGCAATGACAAAATAGCTATATAATACTGTTGTGACAAAAAATAAATAAATATGTAACAAATACGTTCACACATTTTATAATAATATATAGCTATGTCTATATATATATAATATATATATATATATATATACACATGCATATAATATATAACAGTGTTATCACAACTATATAATAACATAAAGGAAAGTATGTGAATTACGTGAAGAATTATCTCAACCAACTTCATGAAAAGCATTCTAGCATGATTTGTAAATACTACTAAAGAAGTTTGCATGTAATACTGGACACTTGTTTCCTTTACTATTAGTTTCAGTTAATTTAATTGTTTAAACTTATACGTAGATACAATTTATGTTTGTCTACTAAACAGATTTCAAGTATTTTCAATTTCTGATCAAAAGTTCTGTAAGAATTAGTTACAGATGCTAATGTAAAAAACCTTAATATATCAGGACTTTGTATAAAACGAAAACCAATGATGGAGAGAACAATCATCATGCTATTACTCTATTTACATTGCATAATCACAAATGGACTAATTTAACCAATGAAGCAATGTATTTTAAAGCATTATAGATGAAAAAGACACTTACCATTTGAGAGTGAGTCTTGGGGCAGATGTTAATATCTTCTACCTTTTCATTAGCTGCAAAAGAGTTATTGCTGGGTTAAACCTCTGCAGCACACTGGTACACAGCAAAAAAAGCATACCATAACCTCTGGCCTTTCCATCCACGGGTTACCGTCATGAGGCAAGAAAGTTTGCCTTTGCAGTTTGTGAGAATTTGTGATTGAATGGGCATATGTATGTTCGCAGTGTGGGAGAAAATGCTGAGAAAATGAACGGTTGTTAATTCATCAGCTGTTGGTTGCGAGTTTGTGACATAAGATCTTCCATTGTATGCTGGAGGTTCATAATAACGTTTCAGGACAGCCCAGAGGAGGGGAAAATGGGATGGGGGCGAAGAAAGAAGGAAAAATAAAAAAGACAGACTGACACACATGCACACAACGCAAACCACTCTGGGCTCACTAAAGTGAACACATGGGAGACACATGCTTTAATAGTGCAGAAATAGAATCCAATTCTCATGTTGCTGATTTTCTACGGCTTCTAATCCAGTTTAACGTGAGCAGAATAACTTAAAAATGAAACGCTGTAAGTAGTTATGTTTTACACAAATAATTGTATCACTCAAATGAGCTGTGAAGATTTATTAGCCTGCACTGTGTGTCTGTGTGTGCATGCTCTCACCTATTATCTGGATGATTTCTGCCAGCAGAACTCCATCGGGTATGTCCTGAGTCAGGTCCTTAATAAGCCTTGGACAACCGGACTTGGCCAAATAATGGTTCGCCCAATCAGTGTAGATCTATAGGGAATAAGAATTATTTTTGTTAAGTAACAGAAGATGGACAGAAGACTAGACAGAAAATACAGATTAATGAAGATTTATATCCAAGAGGACCTAAGCAGGTAAAACGTTTTTGTGGTTTGATTCATGGAAGATTCACTCAACACTGACCTGAACCACATACTATGAGAGACAGAGAAAGAGAAAAACACAACCATCTGTAGTATGGACAAGTTGAGTTCAAATGAATCAAAACTATCAATAAGGCTTCAGCATTTGTAACAGCTTATCTGGATTTTCTACTGGATAAAATCCAGCCCTAGCATGACACTATGACACAGCTGATCCATTTAATCAGATGTGGATTACACAGATAACGGGTAGCTACTTACAACAAATTAACTTTTCCAAATGTTAATTCTTCTCTAAAGGCTGGTGTCATCACATCTTCTTGAGCTCATAAACCATCATTAAAGTCTTTTAAATTAAGTCCTGGTTCATGAACGTTTTTACATAACAGTTTCAGAACAGTCCCAGTAGTGAAACAGAAAAAGTTAAAATAAGTTAAAACAGCATACAGGGAACACTAAATAGAAAGTCCTTATTTATTGCTTAATATACCGGGTCTGTTCGAGCAAATGCAACCCCCTAGTGACTCAGTAATATGTCTAAAAGATTCCTTGGATATGGTGTTCCTCAGGGGTCTGTTCTAGGGCCCCTAAAAATACTCATGTCGCAAATCTTAGAGCTCTGCTCTTTTGTTGTGATCTTAGGATTACATATCATTGCACAAAAGGCAAGCGGTTTTCCATTTCCTACCTAAGTGAAAGCACTCCAGTGGCAAGGTACACTCTTAGAACTCACATCCTCTCACTAATAGAGTTGCCTGTATGGGGCTTTTGTCTGTAATGTTTCATTTCAGTATGTGAATTTTACAGTGACTATCAAATAGGTTTAACTTTTTCAGCTCAACCAAACAGCGGTTCTGTATCTTATCTGTTTTTTCAATGTGCCATTTGATTTTGTTCCTAGCAGAAAATGGTCAACCATCCTACTGTACTGTTGCTATAAACCTTTTGTTTTGGCTTCCTTTAGACAGTTTGAGCCTTAATTAGGGTGGTCAGACCTCACCACACCCCCATAATCTGCACCATGCTTCACGTTTAAGTTATGAATGACGCACTGAAAGCTATTTCAAGTGGTAAAAGTCATTTACTCCCACGAACCCAGTAAAATTTCAAAGGAATTTTCATTCACATAGATTCACGTTTCATTTTAGACCATATTATAATGCCTCATGAAATTTAAAAAAAACATCAGCCACACTCTCTCGCCACCTCAAACACAGTAACCAATTAAACATTTCTGTCTTTGCCAGGCAAAAGGGAGCATTCCACTCAAAGATGCCACAGTTCAAAGGTTTCGTCTGTTGTGGTTTCAGCATATGAAGAGGAGTCATTAACGGGAACAGGGTGATGAAGAACACTTTACTCACCATCCTACTTAAACACAACACAATGCAAAAGCTCACCACTCCAAACCACAGTCACCTCCGAGAGTTGAGTAAACAAAGAGCTACTTTACCGCATATGCCAACACCTCTAGTCATGGCAGAGAAAACAGCAAAGAATTTACACATTTCCGCAGCATCTACAGTAGTAAGCCAGGTGATTTCTGCTTTGGTTTGGCTATGATATTGATGTTTTAGTTCATCCTAGTGGTCCAGGATGTAGGAGGAAGACAGATATCTGTGGCTTAACCTGAGTTGGTGAGGTAAATTGATGCAGTGGTTAAAAGGTCAGAAAAAGTGGAGTATAAGAGAGATTCCCTGATTCTCTGCAGCACAACCCTGTTCCCATTTTCTCTGCCTAACGGAGGGCAGAGAGAATAAGGGGTGCCACAGTGCCACAGTTGTTCATGGGCTCGAAGGGCAGAAATTGTCCATCTGGACCTTTGAAAGGAAGGAAAGAAAAATCATTCTGTCATCCTCTTATTGCCTCCAGCGCCCAAAGATCAACAAAGAAAGCAGAGAGAGACATGGTATGAGAAAGCAAGATGAGAGAACAAAACGAGAGAGAGAAAAAGCGGGAGAATGAGTGTATCTTGTAGCTTTACTTTATTTTTGGTAAATTTATGTCAAATCTAGGCTAAGTTGTAACTTATGCAAAGCTGGTGCAACCGGCCCCTGGATATCTAATTGTTCTATTGATTCCAATTGTAATTCAGCTCCAACCCTGATCAAACACAACTGATCCAGCTTATTGAGATCTTTAGGAGCACTTGATAAATACAGACACGTGTGTTGAATCAGGGTTGGATCTGAACTCTACAGGTAGTGAGGATCTCCAGGAACAGGATTGGGCTGCATTGCCCAACTGGAACAAGATAACAACCAAAAAACTTGACTTTTAGTTGTTGATTGTTCAATACTTTTACCTTTTCCCTCAGAACCCTTCACTCTATATAGTGTAGCTTTGGGACTATTAAAGCTGGGGTTCATAACCTAGGGTTGAAATTATGCTAACATCTGTCAAAATTATACATGTGAAACATTGCTGAAAAGCTGCTTAAATTCTAAGCCACCTGTTCTCAAACAGGTTTCCCAAAACTCCTACCATTGGCCAGACAAACAGCCGTTCCCCAAACGCTATTGGCTGAGCTAATGTTGCTGTGCAGAGCTGGTCAGGATGCAAAACAAACAAAGCAATGTTTTGAAAACACCACAGAGACAGTGTTTTCACTCTCCAGGGAAATTGGTTTACTCACAGTTGTCTCTGTATATTAAGCTGGGATAAGAGTATATATTTTAACGTCAAAGAAATTACACACTTCAGCTTTAGATTGGCGCTTAAATTAGCAAAAAGAACTGAAAATTACAAATAAAAAGCTGACAGGTACAGTAAGACTAAAGGAGTCTCCCTACGTCCTATTAATGAGGATAGAAGTGGATACAGATGAAATCTCCCTGAGAGGACCATTACCACAGTCATTTCACTTTCTTAGAAACCAATTGATTCATCTGAAAACCACCATTAACATTTTTATCAACATAGGCAACGTACAATATATCGAGGAGAAGCTGGAATCTCCTATGCACACGATAACCACCAGCACACTGTAAATGCTTTAATCAATGCTGCCATTAACACTCAGGCACAAGGGAGGGGGAAATGGGCCGGTCTGCAGCTGTAAATAAGCGACTGTTATGGCAGAAGGAAACTGGTTGTAAAGCAGTCTTTCAATCTGATAGTTTCATGGAGGGAAGTACATCGAGCCAAGGTTAAACAGTTTCCCGTCCCGTTATTTCAGGGGGAGAACTTGCTGATGTTTCCCACTGTGAGACCGGCAGAAGCTCACATGAACACAAACACATCCAAAACTCAGTCAGTCAGTGCTCTTCAGTCCCCAGATGTTTGCTGGATCCCATCTGAACAGCATTAATCTAGTGCCCAAGCACCCCTTGACTTCACTCACAGCTATTTATCATGCGTCACGGTTTCTTTTCCCACGACCCATTATTTTCAATTCATCCCAACAGCTCTGACACTGTGGTTTTGTCTCTATTAATGAGCAAGCGCTTGTTTGGCTAATGCATCACTCCGCTGTAAAACCCAACTATGCCACCCTCAGCATTCACGCAGCATTAAACGGACACACACACACACACTCATACAGCCGTCATTCATGAGTGCAGCCTCCTCCCCTCGCAAGTAGGTTGCCAGTGCACACATACATGCGTCCAGACACACACATCCATCAAACAAAAACACAAATCCCCAGGCTTTGTCCCTGACTCTAAGAAGCAGTCAACAGTCCCTGTTGTTTCAGCCTGGCAGAGTTAAGCTCGAGTGAAGTGTGTGTACCTCTTAAGAGTATCTGAGCCCAGGTTGTCCCCGTCCTCAGTGTCCCGCTGATAAACGGCAGCGTTCGGCTCTCTCTACAGTCTGCAGTGCCTATAACTGCGCAGGTACTGGAAGCCTGCAGTTACAGTACTCGGCCAATAGGGGGAGTCAGCTGCTGGGAAAGGCTGCCATGCATAAGCCAGAGGGGTCTGTGAGTTCACTGCCTTGCGGATGATCCAGAGACCGTATTTGGTGTTTATTTGAATGCTTTTAGATGAAGTTTAGATTATGAATCACAGGACTGAGTGGAAAAGGAATGTAAATGTATTATTTAATAAAAATGAGGGGCTCTGTAAGCATATGGAATACTTAACGGCCCTGAAACACTTAAGGGCTGTTGTGTAATGCTGTAAATTGAGTTATATGACTGTATGGGACTGTAAACCTTTATATATCTTATTAGAGGAATTCGTTAAAATAACTAAAAACAATATCAAGGAAAAGGGATAGAGCTAAACAAAATCAGGAAGTTGTTAAACAGCAGGTTTACAACACAAATACAGCGTAAAATCAGACTACAATTTTACATTTTCTCAAGAAAATGTGATTGTGCTTGCTTGAGTAAAATTGGGTTTTCTGAGTGGCTGGTCTATATGGTATTTCTATACAGTTGCTAAGAGATTTAGAGCTTGTTTGTCATTCCTATGGTGTTCTAAGTGGTTGGTAAGTCAAAAGAAGCAGTTACACTTTATTTTACAGTGCCCTTGTTATATATGTTACATGTACTTAGTGTATAAATAACAGACAATTATGCATAATTACATGCAACTAAGACTAAACCAAACCCTAACCCTAATTATATAGTTAGTACATGTTGTTAATTACTAATACACAACAGTGCGAGACAAGTTAAACTACCACTCAAAAACTTTTAAAATGTAGTATCAAAATCAATGAAGTATCAAAGTCAAAGGAGTCCAAAATAACATTGCACCCCAATGACTTTCATTATAGACAAATTGGTTGTGAATTTATTTTAATATCTGACAGAAAAAAAATCATTTAGGTTTGGAACGTCATGAGTGGGGAGAATGAAATGTTTTAAATCACATAATTTGCACACAAAAAAATCGAATACATGTCAGGCTGCAGAGAGAGAGAGAGAGCGTACAGAATGCGTTTGCAGTACTCAGGGATAGAGAGACACCTCGAGGAAAGGGAATCATCTTATGACATTGTAACTGAGCAATGAGCAAGACTTTGCTGAATCAGGGCTGAGGCGGCAGCAAACACAGCTCACCGCTGTTTACCCATAACACACCAGCCGTCAGTCTGTGTGACACTTGAGTTTAATGCAGTTTCTCCATTGATTTCATGGTAGTTTTCCATTCATACTGAGGCACGGCGTTCCGCCACATGAATGGGAGCGCAGACTGCTGACATATGGCTGTGATTCTCTCATTTGGCTCAGGGGAGATTGGAAGAGGATGGGGACTAGGGTTTTATTGTGTGTACAGTTGTGTATGTGTAAATCAAACATCACTCTCAGACTAAACCCTCGGCGGAGAAGGGCGAGAGTGTTTGTCGTTTCTACAAGGATGAGACGCCACTGTGCGCTTTGACAGGAAGTACAGGCAGTTGGGCTGTCAGAACTAGTTTCCTGTGTGCTCGCTGGCCCTTGGCTGCTCCTCGTCCCATTGAAAGATGGGCCTCCTAAATGCTCCTCTCAGCCAGGACACCCACACACACTTGAACCCAGCGAGACGACAAATGTCCCTTCCTCTCACATGGCATGACATTATCATTGTTGACTTGGCACACAGCTGACATTTGGAGATGCTCTTTATGTTGAGACCTCATAGACGGTGAAATTAATAAGGTGCGAGCCCTACCCACTCTTTCAGACCACATTCTCATTGGCCCATTGATGAAATTTCATAATTTAAGAAAATACACTGGCAAAATGTTCCTCCTAATTGTATATCAGATAAATACCAGCATGGAGGAAGATAACAGGTTTGCCATTTATGGGCTCTTGACAGAAGACCCACACAACAGACAACCAGGTTCATTAAGTGACCTGAATTAATCTGTGTCAGTAGCTGCCAATTGAGTTAATTGTGTTTGTTTGAAGGTTCGTACATCAGAATGTTCATGAGCGGCACAGAGACTCATTTAGTCTAGTTTCCCTTGAGAATCCCCACAGAGCAGCTGACATACTAAAGTGCACAGACAACAGAGAATCCCCTGCTCCAGCATTTAGTAATTAAAGCATCTACGCAGAATATTCTCCTGAGTGTTGAATACCGTAAAAATCAATGGACGATGATGATGCGTGCGAAACAAGGTTACATAATGGTAAAACGTCCCTTTGTTGTTCATAATCAACAATGAAAGGTTCCCTTTTGGAGCCAAGGCTTAGAGGTAATTCATTGAGAATGGGTGCTTATATGAGGAAAGCAGTTTTGAGCCTATGTTGGAATATACTACAAACATTCTGCCTACTTAACATAGACAACCATTTCAAGTGGCATATGCAAAATGGTTGTCTATGTTGACACTTTGAGATATCTACAGCATGAACCAAACTGCACCATTGCACACATCTGGAAGATATCACTATGCCAAACCTTGTTCACTTTCTCCTCAAAGCAACTTTAAACAGTTCCTGGTTTTCTTCTTTCCAGTACAAACATCATTATCTTGTCCAAGGGAGCCAGTAGCCCTTCATCTCACTTAATGTTCCCAATAATAGCACCTGTCAACCCCATGGTCACTTCATTAAAGGTCCACAAACACTCACAGCTACAGCCAAACTCTTCTCCTTTGAGCACTGCATGGGGAAAATGCCTCTTTAAGTGGAAAATAATGCAACACGTTGTAAAAGCAAACACATTTGTAACCCTGCCACTTGTTAATGGCTGGAACTTCTGCCAAGCATAAAATACCTTTCCTCATATGCATATGCATGTATTTTGTCAATAAAACATCAGGTGCGTCCTTTTCCCACACATACATGGCAAGAGCTAACTAACTTACTTACTAAATAAGTATTAAGTTACAATCCAGAAAAAAAATATATAGATTGTTGTATTACAAGGACAAATATTAAAGTATGTAAATGAATACAGTAATTATTCTTTTTTATTAAACAGCAATTAAAAATACGTAACAATGTTGTATTGTCAAAATGCAAATCCAATGAGAATCAACTTTGAGAATAATTGGGATTACAAAACAGTTTTAAAACTTTCTAAAGACCAGAAAAGTGGGCAAGTTTTCCGTTCTGTTACACAGACATATGCCAACAAAGAGCTCTCGTTTGATGAGAGCTGAAACGAAGATATGAAGGACCTCACGGCAGGGGAGCCAGTCTCTTAAATTCTCTTGCAGCTGTCAATCAGCTGAAGTGAAGAAAGAGAAAGCAAGAAGAAGGGACAGAAAGATACAGAGATGAAAAAAAAACTGGGGATAGAAACATGTGGGAAGAAAGTGCATAAGCCGTATTCTTGAATTGACTTTCAGGAGTTAGGAAGCTGAAGGGAGTTCTGCATTTCTAGAGCACAAACAGTGAAGGACACAATGTTCCTTGGCTATCCACAGTCTATTCACAGAATCTCTGATGAATACTGCTCACACAAATGACAAAAGTCGATTTGACCAAATGTGATGAGCTGGTTCTACGCAACTACAAGAGTCATGTACAAAAACGTTAACAGTGGTTGGTTGCTTTATATGTCAAATCAAACTCTTCCTGCCTAAGTGGCGGATATTGACCATAACAAAGGGCAATGAGGACCAGATTTTAGGTCGCAAGTCAAAAGTCTCCATGACAAAACTGACCTTGACCTTGGCTGAGTTTGAGTGACAGCTCTCTGCCATTCAACCAGTTACCACAGAAATCATAATAAACACAGCGAGATATTTCTTATTATGACCTAAAATGTGGTCATGCTTACTCCCACTGTTGCTGAAAAGAGGAATCTCCCTCAGCCTGCCCCATTTCAAAACATGTCATTACTAAAACAGGCAGCGCTTCCAGAGAAATATCTGTCATCTAATTAGTAAGCACATTTCATTCAGCAGAAAGGAATAATGAGAACTACGTTAGAAAATGTAAGTATATCCATTGGGATCTGGTGTGAAATAGAGCTTAACCACCTAAACCTTTAAATAATTCTGTCGTCTCAAAGTGGAATGCAGCACTGAGATGCAGCAACACTCAGTAACACTTTCTATGATGCATGTAGCCTATATATAATGCATTACATGTATTCATAATGCAATACAGGAGACATTGTAATCAGGTTTATCTGGTCATGAATAATTGTACTGCAAGGTAATACATTATAATACTTGACTTTTTACATTCAAAGAGTACACTGCATTTTAACACTCAAATGTGGTGTTGAGTATATGCTAGCGTGCCTTATACTCTTTAGAAGTGAAAATTACTAATCAATAAGTATCTCATAACTGTGGTTACAAGTATTTAGGGGAACATAGAATGTATTAAGGTGTATCATGCATTATGAATGCATAGAAAGTAAACAACACATTGGCACTGCATTTGTAATTGAAAGTGTTACACAAAACTTTGGGGTGTGAGACATCTAAACTCACTATTTTATCTGACTAAACACTATTCATCTGCATATGTGTGTATATGTGTAGCTTTGCTGGATCTGGACTTAGACATAGCATCTCAGCTATATAGCAACCCCTTTGTCTCTTAGCGACACAAAGCTATTCCTGTCTCTCAGCATGTCTCTATAATTAGCAGTAGACCTGTAAGAGCCACCTTCACTAAATAAATTACCCAGTTTAGAAAAGTAAATAGCAAACGTGTAATTAGCCTCCATCAACTCGTTACTGAGCACCAGCTAGACTGCAAATAGAGACCTTAGCTGTGTTTCAAATATGAGTGAGCTGCCTACCTAGACAACATTTAAGATTTCATACTAGAAACACTCCCAACATGAAGGCTGTTTTTAAAGGCCAAAAAGTAGGATGCAACATTAATCTGCCTGGTTTTATTCAATAAGGATGCAATAAATTTATCAAAAATGACAATAAAGACTGGAGAAATGATGCTGAAAATTC